AATATATTTTCATTAAATTACTAAACTCATGTAAGTTTCTATATTATAATTAGAATTGCTGTAGTTTATAGTTAACATTTCTTACTGATAACTTACGATATTATAAGTATCAATTTCATGTTTTATATATGCATAAAATATTAATTAAAAATCTGAACAAATCCTCTAAATTATTCAACGTTATATAATATTGAATTTAAAAAGTGAAATCGTGTCAGAATTTAATTTTTTTCTACTGATATTATTTACTTATAAAAATCTATTAAAATTATTATGATTTACAAAATACTTTCGTTATATTATTATTGTTAACATTTCTTCATACCTTAAGATATTATATAAACATTGATAGATTTAAAATATTAATTAAAAATCTGAACAAATCCTAAATTATTAAACGTTATATATTGAATTTAAAAAATGAAATCGTGTCAGAATTTTATTTTTATCTACTGATATTATTTAATTATAAAAACCTACTAAAATTATTATGATTTACAAAATACTTTTGTTATATTATTATTATTAACATTTCTCCATACCTTAAGATATTTATAAACATTGATATATTTAAAATATTAATTAAAAATCTGAACAAATCCTAAATTATTAAACGTTATATAATATAGAATTGAAAAAGTGGAATCGTATTAGAATTTAATTTTAATCAACTGATATTATTTACTTATAAAAACCTACTAAAATTATTATGATTTACAAAATACTTTTGTTATATTATTATTATTAACATTTCTTCATACCTTAAAATATTATAAACATTAACCATATACATAATATATTTAAAATATTCATTAAAAATCCGAACAAATAATTTTTAGATATCTAAACTCTGATATAATATAAAAATAAATAAAAATAGAATGTTTTTTATTTTTAAATCGTAATTTATTAAATAAAAGGATACGAACAAATAGTGTCAGTATCAAAAGCTTTACTTTTAGCCGGTCACGTAGCTACCCTTCATTCTCATTTCTTCGTCGTATTCTTTATCCAACCCATAAATACGAATTTTCTCGCTCGTCTCGACGACCATCCTTCCACCAACCCACCCCTTCCCACCCCATACTTCCCTTTTTTTTTTTCAACTTCTTTCTCAACGAGCTTAAATTCGTAATACGTTGAGGGATGCCAAGTCTCGACGAAAGAAAGAAAGAAAGAAAAAAGGTACAAAAAAAAAAACTTGTACCTTTTTCTCTTTCCATGTAATAGTCTCAACGCGACACAGGAGTGGGGGAGAGAAGTTGGGGGAGGAGGGGGGTAAAGAGAAAGGGAAGAAGGGTTTTAATCCCTGTTAAAAGGACGACGTACCGTCAGATAAATTGATTTATTTAATTAAGAGTTTTTATCCGCTTGGGAACAAAAAAAAACAGGAAAAAAGAAGAAGAAGAAGAAGAAGTTGAATTATATTCTCATCGATGAATTTTTTGATTTGACACACATTTTTTTTTAATTCTCGTATTGTAGAATTGTATTTTGTATTTTATCTGTTTTCTTTTTTCATTTCAATACTTTTTTTCATTCCACATTGTTTCGATACTTTGAAAATACAATTTTACACACACACACACACAGGGGTACTAATTTATAGGAAAGATTGTGTGTGATAAGATGTATAATATTAAAATATATATTATATACAATTTATACGATATATCTACGAAAAAAAAAATATATATTGTATATATTATGTATATATTATAATA